TAAAAGCCCTTCACTTTCATGAATTTCTACAAGTTCAAAACCAACATATCCAAACAAACCATGGCTTCCTCCTCCACTCACTTCTTTCTTTCAAGCTTGGTTTTCTTGATGATCTCCTTCTTTCAACCATCCTCACATCAGCAACTTTGTCATAAGGATGAGTATCTAGCTCTAGTGCAATTCAAAGATAGCTTTGTCATTGAAAGGCAAGCATCTACTCATCCTAAAGTCGGTCTTTGGAAGTCTCAAGGGATTGATTGCTGCTCATGGCAGGGCATATCATGTGACCAAAACACTTCTCATGTCATACGCCTTGATCTCAGTAGCAGTTGTCTTTTTGGTTCTATCAATTCCAACAGTAGCCTCTTCCGCCTTGGACACCTTCAATACCTCAACCTTGCACTCAACGACTTCAATTTCTCTAAGATACCATCTGCAATGGGCAATCTTTCGAGGTTAACTTATCTCAATCTCTCTGGTTCTTTCTTTTCTGGTCAAATTCCACATGAAATTTCAAAACTCTCCAATTTAGCTAAGCTTGACCTTTCTTTCAATCTTGATCATTCACATCAAGGATTGTTGGAACTCAAAAGGTCTGATTTGAAAAACATAGCTCAAAACTTAACCAAGCTAGAATGGCTTGACCTCTCTTATGTTGGTATAAATTCTCCAATACCAAAGGCCTTGGCAAATCTATCGTCATTGACACATCTCCACTTCAGTCAATGTGGATTGCATGGAAAGTTTCCCATAGACATTTTTCAACTACCTAAACTTCAAGTCCTTGATTTGGATAACAATTGGGAACTTAGTGGTAGTTTTCCTGAATTTCACTCTCACAGTCAACTTAGGGCACTCAATGTTGGAAACACAACCTTTTCTGGTGAGTTACCTATCTCAATAGGAATGCTTAGCTCTTTGGAATATTTAGATGTCAGTAGTTGCAACCTCTCAGGTTGGGTACCACCTTCAATTGGTAATCTCACCAAGCTCCATGTATTGAACCTCCCAAATAATTCTTTCAAGGGAAAAAACGCTCCTATCTTCTCAAACCTCACTCAACTAACTCAAATAAATCTTAGATTAAATCAATTCACTTTTAGTGAGGTCCCTTCTTCTTTGGCTAGCTTGACCCATCTCATGAAGATAGACCTTTCTTATAATCATATTTCTGGCCATTTTCCATCTTGGATTACAAACCTAACAGATTTAAGACAATTGATTCTCGGGTCTAATATGTTACAGGGATCTCTTCCAAGCTCAATTTCCAGACTCAAGAACCTTGAAACATTCAATGTTTACTTCAACAACTTAAGTGGTATTGTTGAGTTTGACACATTTGTTGAACTCAAATCCCTTAAATATTTGCAATTAGAGTCTAATAATTTCTCGTTAGTAATCAAAACTCCCACCAATAGAACAATTCCAAAGTTTAAAATGTTGGGTCTTTCTTTTTGTAATTTAAGAGAGTTTCCAGACTTCTTGCGTAACCAAAGTGAATTGAATCTCCTCAACCTCGACTCCAACAACATCCATGGCCAGATACCTAGTTGGATATGGAACATGAGTGCAAATTTGTTTGGTTTAGTGCTTTCTCACAACAATTTCACAAGTTTTGAAGAATCCTTTCTTGTTTTTCCTTCTACTAGTCTTTTTTATCTAGACCTTAGTTTTAACTTTCTCAAAGGTTCTCTACCAATCCCACCGCTCTCCATCCTTTTCTACTTAATTTCCGGGAATATGTTCAGTGGAGAAATTCCACCTCAATTCTGCAACATGACTTCTCTTCAACAGCTTGATTTGTCTCAAAATAATCTGAGCGGAACAATGCCGCAATGTTTTGGCAACCTCAGCTCCATGTTGGTTTTAAACTTGGAAGGAAACAACTTCCATGGTCCTATTCCTGAAACATGGGAAACTGGAAACAATCTCAAAGAAATTAAAATGGGACAGAATAATTTGCATGGGAGGTTACCAAGATCACTAGGCAACTGCAAAACGTTGGAGTTTCTTGATCTTGGAAACAACAAGATCAAAGATACTTTCCCTTACTGGTTGGGAGCTCTTCCTAAATTGAGGATTCTCATTTTGCATTCAAATAGGTTCCATGGCACAATTTCAATCAAAGTACCAGAGATAGATTTCTTGTTTCCTAAGCTCTGCATCATTGACCTTTCAAACAATGGATTTGTTGGCACTTTGCCAATAGACCTCTTTGCGAGATGGAATGCCATGGCTGATCTTGATGAAGAGAACGCAACATATTTGCAAGTGTATAAACACTATTTAATGGGGAACTCTATTATCTTTCCTCTTCAATTTCCTTACTCAATGACAATAACAAACAAAGGAGAGAAGCTGGAATATGCAAAGATCTTGGAGATTTTCAAAGCAATTGATTTTTCTTGCAACAAATTTGAGGGAGAGATTCCAGAACTAGTTGGGAACTTAAAGGGACTTCAACTGCTCAATCTTTCCAATAACATCCTTGATGGTCAAATCCCTTCTGCCTTGGGATATCTTACAAGTCTTGAAGCACTTGACCTTTCTCAAAACAAGCTCACAGGAAGAATTCCTACACAGCTGACGCGGCTAAATTTTCTTGAAGTCTTCAATGTGTCTCACAACTATTTGACTGGTCCTATCCCGAAAGGCCAACAGTTTGATACATTTGAAAACAGCTCTTTCGATGGAAATTCAGGGCTGTGTGGAATGCAACTGTCAAGAAAATGTGACTACTATAACTCCGAGAATTTGCCTCCAGCATCCTCAACCTCCGAAGGAAATGAAGACTCTGGATTGTTAGCTGAATTTGATTGGAAATTAGT